CACCATCATGTAAAAAAGATGTTAAAACTCTAGAAAGCATGAAGAGCAACAAAGATAATTAGGGGCTGGAGGATAAAACATGCAATGAACGGTTGTAGGAACTAGGTATCTCTAGTTTAATAAAGAGGCGGCGGACCAATCAGGCCATCCAGCATTCCATAGAACCACTTTGTTCTGCTCTGTTTGTGCAAGAGAAAGAGCATTCTCTATGGCAGTGTTTCTCAACCTTAGCAACTTGAAGATGTCTGGACGTCAACTCCCAGAATTCCCCAGCCAGCATTCGCTGGCTGGGGAATTCTGGGAGTTGAAGTCCGGACATCAAGTTGCCAAGGTTGAGAAACACTGCTCTATGAGAGAGGACATCTGCTGCAGCCTACCCAACATAGCTTCTCACCAATTGGTTGGATGGCAACCAGCATAGTCACAAGGGACACTGGCTATAAACGGAGGGAGTTTGGTTTAGCTTCATCTACCGGTTCACCGACAAATGCACGGTCGATAAAAGCGCCCCGACAAAACCGCGGCAAGAAAACTGCGAGGTCGAAATCGCGCCGACGAACGCGCACAGAAGCGCGCCGACGAAAGCGTGCCATCAAAAAACAACGAAAACGACGTAATAACCCTAAGCCTAACCCTTACCTTAAATCGCGCTTTTGTGGGCGCGGCTTTGTCGGCCCGTTGTTGTGGGCGCGTTTATGACGTTGTGGTTTTCTTGCCGTGGTTTTTATTGGCACGCTATTATCGTGCGCGCATTTGTCAGGTCACGTCATCTACCACAGTCTTCCATAGGCTGGCGTGGAAGGATGCTGTAGAGCAAGGGTGTCAAACTTAAGGCCCGGAGGGGCGAATCTGGCCCGCAGGGCTGCCCGGGAAAAGGCAAAGGACTGGTCCGTGGTGCCTTTGCCAGTGAAAACGGGCTCCTGAGCTCCGTTTTAGCTGGCAGAGGATTGCAGGAGGCTGTCGCAGCTGAAAACAGAGCTCGGGAGCCTGTTTTCTCTGGCAGAGCGCTCGGGCCACCACAGGAACCCTCGACACTAGTGAAGCTGGCCACGCACACCCTGCCCCCCTCCCCAAGTTCAAACACAACCCTGATGTGGCCCTCAATGAAATCGAGTTTGACACCCCTACTATAGAGAAAGCTAGGCAAATACACTCCCTATGAATTGGGGGAGGAGAAGGATAAGACCAAATTTATCCAAAAAAAGGAGCTACAGCATAGGCATTTTTGCTGGGCTCAGTGAACCTCATATCATGGCTGCCTTTGTCTCCCTATTATCCAAGCACCACAACCTTTGCAACAGTTGAGATCAAACTTAAAACACCGACAATATTGAAGTTGTTAAAAATTGAACAAGGATGGATTACGGCTTTGGAAGCTCCTACAGGTACAGAGTCGCCTCCTGCAAATACCAGTACAGGCCTTCCCAGCTTGCTCCCAATCTCCACATTCTTGCCACCCTATTTTCTTCCCTGGGCACCTGAAGTTTGGTATGTTCCTTCAGCAGTCTGTCGTACTCCGTTGTCAATCCTTCAGCCTGTTTGCGCATAGCCAATGCCTCATTGTCTGCCTTACTCAGGGCTGGGTGAAAAAGAGAGAAAAAGGACCACATCAGTACAGTTTCAGCATCCTCACACATCTAGTTATTAGCGCAATCACAAGGCAAGGGTGCCAATGAATCTCTCACTGAAAATAGGTCATTCCATATCACAGCTTCTCTCCCCCCCCAAAAAAAAACCCATCAGCCTGCCTGTTCTATTATCAGCTTCCAAAAAACCACCTCTTCGCAATATTTGCAAAACTCCTACAAGTAAAAGGATTCAGGTGACTAGTTGTGCCCAGCTACACAGGTGGCTTATGGTTTGCACCAACTCATTATTTAATGGAAGTGTCACAGCCAATTAACTTGTCTTTGATCGAGGGTTGCACAGCTGAGATAATTACATAAGGTTAGTTAATTAGCTAGAATAGTTCTTCCCTGGTGCTTTTATCTGAACCAGCACTAGATTGGGAGTTAACACTTCCATCAAAAATCAAGATGACTTTTGAAAACAATTACAGTGAGATAAAGTTTGTGAACCCACAATACTCTCCTTAACCTTAGAGTAATGTGACCTACAAAGTGATTAACTTCATCTAAATCAGTGTTTCTCAACCTTGGCCACTTGAAGATGTCTGGACTTCAACTCCCAGAATTCTGGGAGTTGAAGTCCAGACATCT